GAGAATACAGGTTTACTCATTCTGTACACAGTGACCAGAACAAACCACCTCAGTAGCTCTTGACTGTTGGCCCTCTGCTGCCTTTCTTCTGGAAGGCTGTGGTCGTTAACTGGCATCAGCATCCAGTCTTGCAAAGATCTCTTTGTGAAGGCAGCTAGGCAACTTTTCTGAAACAGAAATCTAATGATGCCATCGCCCTGGGCTGAGCTTGTTGGTTCTGCTGCGTTCCTTTGCTGTTGGTAATACCCAGGCCTTTCCCTTGGATCACTGGGTTTTATCATGTGGCATTACCACATCCATCGAGGAGGCTTGTTGCCACCTTCCTCAGTCAGCCTCTGCCTCAGCTTTGCTGGACTGATGTGTTGTCCTGAGACCTGCCATTCTGGGCTTTTGCACATACTCTAGCCCCTGCTTGAATTCTTGACCTTCTTTATCTACCTCTACAACTGTACTAACTTCTGCTTACTCTCATTCTCCTCTTTGTCAGCCTCCCCTGGACTTCATCACCAGCACAGACAGACACACTGTGCAAGACTCTTGTGTCTTTAGCATACCATTGGCTACACTTGGTCTTATTTACTTATGTAGTTGTTCATTTTCCGATAGACTATGTGTAGTGTACATTGTGACATCTGTGAGCTCCAGACACTTTTACTCTCGTGGGATCTCCTTGCATATAAAATGTAAAACCAGGTGTGGTGGCATGGATCTGTACTCTCCGGCATTCTCGTGGCTGAGACAAGGTGATTTCACATTGGAAAGCAGTGTGGGACTACAGAATGAGTTCCAGGCTGGCCAAGGATGCATAGTGAAGTCCTGTGTCAACAAACCAAAACCAAACTAACAAAGTAAAAAATTAGGTAAGGGTGTGTCTTAGGTTTCTATTGTTGTGAAGAGATACCAAGACCCTGGCAAAGGGTGTGTCTTGGTTAGGGTTTCTATTGCTGTGAAGAGACCAGGACTCCAACACTTTTTTTTTAAAATAATTATTTATTTTTATTTTATGTGCATTGGTGTTTAGCCTGCATGTGTGTCTGTGTGAGGGTGTCAGATCTTGTGGTTATAGACAATTGTTAGCTGACATGTGGGTGGTGGGAATTGAACCCAGGTCCTCTGGAAGGGCAGTCAGTGCTCTTACTGGCTGAGCCATCTATCCAGTCCTGACCCCAGCAATTCTTACAAAGGGAAACATTTAATTGGGCCTGGCTTACAGTTCAGAGGTTCAGTCCATCATGGTGGGAAACAAGGCAGCATGCAGGCAGACATGGTGCTGGAGCTGAGAGTCCTTATATCTTGATCCAAAGGCAACAAGAAGTGAACTGAGACACTGGGCAGTATCTTGAGCATAGGAGACCTCAAAGCCTGCCTCCACAGTGACATACTTCCTCCAACAAGGCCATGCCTACTCTAACAAAGCCACACCTCCTAATAGTGCCATTCCCACTGGGGGCCATTTTCTTTCAAACCACCACAGGGTATTTGCCTAAAGTCTGAAGAGCTTAGTTTGATCTCTGGAGTATATGATGGATAGGGAGAACCAACTCTTGCAAATTGCAAATTGCAAAAAAAAAAAAAAAAAAAAAAAAAAAAAAAAAATGGTACACATACACACATAGGGCCAGCGTAAACAAAAATATATTTTGCAATATAAATATATTCTAAGCTCTATTTATTAAGGTGTCATGGTCCTCAATACTGTCCCACTTATATGAATGGGTGTACCAACTGTTGAATGGACAGAAATACTTTATAGATAAAGTCAACAGAATATGCCAGCTGATGGATCAAGACAAAGGCAAGAAGATCACTCAGCTCTTCAGTTATGTGGCCCTTTAGTAATTGCCCAGGTAGCTCACAAGTAATCCTAAGAAGTCATTGTTTTTTCCCTGGGAATAAAACAAATCTCAGAAAATTAGAAAGATATACTCACAAATGTGTATAGTTACTACCTTCTATATGTTTAAGAGCAAGAATCATTGAGATGTTTATGATTTCAAAAATGTGTTCCAGGATCTGGCTTACTAACAAGCATGTTTCTACATAGAGAGGTCAGTGTTGTGTGGGGTTGGGAGGCAGTTTTGCCCAGTCATGGGACATTTGGCTGTGTCTGAAGACTGATTTCTCTTGCAGCATTTGGCTGGAGATAGAATCGGGATGTGTGTGTGCCATGGTGAGCAGCTCCTATGGAGAAACCCTCTAAGGCTTTGTTCTCACCCCCTCATTATCTGTTGGGCTTATTTTCCCGTAACTCCACTAGAAGCTTCAATTCAGATGCAGGGCTCATTGTATCCCCAGAGTCAAAGCATTTCTTCACTTTGATCAAGTTGACATTTAAGTGGCTGACTTCTGAATGCTACAGGTTGGGAAAGACTTTATGTACAAGGTAGAACCTCTCTGTCCAAAGAGCTGTTGTTCTTCAAATGACAACCCAAAATACTCATTTTGCCTCACTCTCCTAACTAGGGAGAGCTGTTGTTGTCTGGGGGGTGGGGGAGTGCTGAGTCATTTATCCATGCTTTTTATTACCTCTTGGCTGGAAGATCACCAGTCATTGTTCATAAGCCGCCCAGCTTGTTTACTTTTTATAAATTACATGTAATCAAGCCCTCTTGCAGGTCTGGCTACTGTAATTGGCAGTTGCCACAGAGCCGGGCCAACGAGTCTGCATTTGTGCTGATGTCTTTTGTTGGGTGCAAGTTCTACCCGCCAAGCTTACTTGTCCCTTCCACCTGTATTTTAAATGGAAAAAGAAGAGACCAAGCATGGGTTCTCAGATGTCATGAGACCCCTAGTTAGGACCTGGTAGAGTCCTTGCCCTTTAGTTTGGGAAAATGAAAGCTTTGAGGTAGTGGTCCTCAAATTTCCATGTTCTTGACGTCACCTGTGTCACTTCTAAAGCGAGGCCTTCCTGTTTTCATTTTCCTCCCCCATCTGATGACTTTCGTAAGTATAGGTAAGGTCCATAAACTTTTTATAAACAAGCAAAAAAAACTCCAAAAAAACCAAGTGTTGTGCTGGAGAGACTTAGCAGGACATGTCCTTGCTGCTCTTCCAGAAGGCCTGGATTTGTTTCCAGCACCCACATTGGGTGGCTCAGCTCCAGGGGATCTGATTACATGACACATGTACACAGACATGGACACACATACACATAGATAGAAAAATCTTTTTTTTTTTTTTTTTTTTTTTTTTTTTTTTTTTTTTACAAGAGAGGCAAATATATAGATATTTTGTGTTTATCTGTGGGATTTGTAGGTATGCATAGTTGCAGATGTGCACCCGTGTGTAATGTAGGAATGGAAGATAGAGGTCCATGCTAAGGTCTTCACTTTCTCTTCCCCTCGTTTGTTTGTTTGTTTGTTTGTTTGTTTTGTTTTTTTATTTTTTATGGGGGGGCGTTCAAGACAGGGTTTCTCTGTGGCTTTGGAGGCTGTCCTGGAACTAGCTCTTGTAGACCAGAGTGGTCTCAAACTCACAGAGATCCACTTGCCTCTGCCTCCCAAGTGCTGGTATTAAAGGCGTGTGCCACCAAAGCCCGGCCATTTGTTTGTTTTTTGAGGTAGGACCGCTCACTAACCTTGAGTTCACCAGTTGTCTATACTGGCTGGTTTGTAGGGCCCAGGAATCCCCCTGCTCTGGTTTTCCAGCATTAAAGTTACAGGTGTACACTGCTACACCTGGCTTTTTGTTTATTTTATGCGGCTGCTGGGGATCTGAACTCAGGTCTTTCATAGCGAGAGGATCATAGCTGAGTCGCCTCCCCAGCCCTAGAATCCCACAGTTAAAAATCTGACCAACCCTCTTGGTTTGATGGAGGTGGCCTCAGATAGTATTTAGAGAAATAATTAATCTTGATGCAAAGGGAAAAAGAACAAAAAAAATCTAATAAAAGGAAATATTTACATTGGAATGGGAAGGTAGAATCAATGCTCAGAGTTCCTTTTTCCTTGAGATGAGGGGAATATAGGATTCTTGGAAATATAGGTGCTTAGTTTTGCCTTTTTTTATTTTCCTTTCTGGTTGTGATTGACATCAACTTATCCATTCATGAGGATGTACTTGAAGATGACAAAACTAAAAGAGTTTTCAGAATGGTTAGACTATTAAAAAGTACCTAGGTGTTGCTAAGTCCTCAAAAGATGTCGAGTCAGAGAAGGTATTAAGTTGACATCCATTAGACATGATTGTGTATCCATTCAAAAGAGGATCCAGACTTTGTGGATAGCTTAGAGATGAGGAGGAGAGATGAGGGGGGATTAGTTTTTCACCACAGTACTGGTTATTCTGGTTATAGGATCTGAAAGAGTATTATTAAAGTCAGGTTTCCTGGAATCGTTCACAGTTCAAATACCTTTCCCACTGTCTGTTGAAGACACAACTGGCTTGTCCTACTTTGTGGTTTTGAGATGTGATTCATTTAGAAAAAGCACCAAGCTGTTGTTCTTAGTGACAGAAGTCAAACCTCTTTTCAGCTATTATTTCTATATGTGTATAACCCAAAATCCACACTTAGGGAAAGAAAGTACCAGAGAGACCCCATGCATGGTAGAAAGTCATCTAAGAAGTGGACCAGGTAAGAATGGTTGCTTCACCCTAGCAGGGGAATGAAGGAATCTCCTTCCAGCTGTGCCCTAAAGAACTCAGTCTTTATCTCTGGAAGGCTGGTTTTTGTTGTTGCTGGCATAGTATTTCCTTCTGAGAATTTTAACATTCTGTTCAGTTGCCTCGTGGAGAGATATTAAACATAAATATTAATAATGGTTTGAGAGATATTTATAATGTGATGGGTGTCACCCACCTTTATTAAACCTTCCAGCTTGATAGCTCCATCCATCTTGGCACCAGCATGTTTGCTTTTCCACTCACAACACTCCTTAGAATTCTTACCGCCATACGGTCATGCTAACTACTTTGCCCATCTTCTGTCTTTCCTACCTTCCTTCTCCGCCTTCCTCCTTGACTACTTATTTACACAGGAACACTTCATCCTCTTAATGACCATGCCCATCTGCCTACAAGATCTCCGAGCATCTTCATATCTGCTTGGTAAGTGTTGAGGATCATTACTGTCATTAGGGGAAGTGGAGGCCACACCTGTGCACTGCTCGGAGCAAGTGAGTTGGGTCAGTAGATCTTTAGCTACTGAAGCAAGCAGGAGGGTTATTCCTGTGAGCTGGTGGTGATCCCAGAGCCAGCTTCTACTGATGCTGGCAACCCGAGAGGGCGCTCTCCATGACTTCCACTCTTCTCTAGGCACTGAAGGCCAAACACAGGAATGCTTTCTTCTCCCAGGTGACTTTATACCCTTGCTTTTTGATGTTGTTGTGGTCGTATGCTTGTTAGATGTTTCTTTACTGGCCGTAGTAGTCCTAGTTTTATTTTATGGAGCCTACTCTATTCCATATATATTTAAACTAAAGGTGGAGGTTTCTAGTTACCCCAGAAAACAAGTCATAGTGCTCACAGGAAGTCATCTAAGTGCAATTGAAAAATGATGGCTTATAAACTGTCAGTTAAAGTGTTGCCACTCAGTGTTCTTTTGGGGGTCTAGCACAGAGATAAAAGGTTATAAGGTATTATTAGATTAACAGATTTACTGTCTTTGTAAACTGCTAAAGGAAAATGTTCTCTCTCTCCCTCCCTCCCTCCCCCCCTCTCTTTCTCTTTCTCTCTCTTGCACACGCAGACAGGGTCTCATGTGGCCCAGAGGGAACTATTTCTTTATTAGAATTACCCTTGAACTATAATGTATTTAGTCCTATAACATGTTCATGTTTTTATAGCTGCTTATATTTGAATAGAATATATACATAGACACACTTGCAGTTTATACATGTTGGTATTTGAGTTCAGGTAATAATAATTATTATTATTATTATTTTGAGACAGAGACATGGTCTGTGTAGATCAGCCTGGCCACAAACTCACTAAAGATCTTCCTGTTTCTGTCTCCCAGGCACTGGGATTAAAGGTGTGCTCCACCATGCCTTGCTTAGGTCATAAATCTTAATATACCCAGTGTATTTAAACCTTTAAAAACCTAGCTATATGACCCAGTAACTTTTTTTTTTTTTTTGCTTCCAAGGTTACTACTTACTTGGTTGTTTGTCCACCTGCCTGTCTGCATCAGAGTTTAACCAAAAACAGAGACTTGTCCTGTTTCTGGTCCATCCCTATAGCTTGGGTTCAGTTTTTGTAAAATGAGTGAGATGGGGAAACAGCAGAGATAGATGTCAAGTAACTTAAGCAAGGAGAAGATACTCCGATTTTTTTTTTTTCTTTTTTAGCAAGCATGTTTAGTTCCAACTTAGGAAGTTAGTTATTTGGTGGGAAGCTTGAGCTTATACTAAGGGCAGTTTGAGCCTGGTCTTTAAATACCTTCTCACCTTTGAAGTAAGTTCTTGTCTTCAACGCAGTTGGTCTTGTCTGTTTTTACACAGGGTTTCTTGTTTTTATACGTCACATATTTTCTAAGTCTGAGGTGGTTATCGAAGCATCTTAAGTAAAAGAAAATGATGGAAGAGAGAGAAGAAGTATGGGTACTGGGTGAAGGTGCAGTCAGCAAGGGCCTTGCAGACACGAGGACCCAAGTTTCATCCTCAGACCCATGAGTAAAGCTGCGTGGTGGTTCCTGTTTTAATCCAACACTGGGACCTCAGAGACTGATGGCTCCCCAGGGCTTGCTAGCTAGCCAGCCTGCTTGCCACTGAGAAACACTGTCTCTGGAAATAAGATGGATGGTGAACACACACACACACACACACACACACACACACCACACACACACTTTTCTAATTTAATGAGCGGAGAAAATTATATTGTTGTTTCTTATCTTTTTTGTTTTCTTTTGAGGCAGGGTCTCATTAGGTAGCCCTGGTTGGCGCGGAGTTCTCTATGTAGATCAGGCTGATCTCAGCCTGGTGACAGTCTGGTGTGGACAATGCATTGCAGGCATGTGCCTATATGAGCAGAAGTTTAAACTGTTGACAGACTGGCCTCTAACACCCTGTGGAATCTCACTGCACACTCCAGAGTAGTCTCCAGGTAGTCCCCCAAAATGCTGAGGGTGTGATTGTACAACCTCGACCTACTTTTGCCTGACACTTCTTTTTTTTTTCCCTTTTAGTCCTTGGGGTTGATTGAACCTTGGGCCTTGCATTTCAAGACAAGTGCCTCACTACTGAACCACACCCCCAACCCTCTTCCTATTCTTATAAGAAAGTGAGGCCTATAGGAAATATAAGTCTAGGAAGCATTCTCTATCCAGAACCACTGGTTCCAGCAATCAGAGCTGGACTGGAACTCGGCTTCCAGCTGTCCATTGGAGGCTCCTCCCAGCCTGCAAATTCTTCCATCCTCACAAGCTGCTCACTTCTAATCTTCACACATGAGAAGAGTCTTGTAGGTGCCCCAAAGCAGTTGTGATATTGTCTATCCATCCCAGCTTGCCTCTTTTATTTCTTAAATGTGGTTAAAAATTAATGACCGCCACATACTGTCGAATAGACCACTGGATCCCAGGGCTCAAAATCTTGAGCTTGGTCTCCTCCCCAGGGATTGCAAGTGTGTGCCACCAGGCTCAGTTTTCAGCCACTTAGGAGTTCAGCAGTGTTAGTGCTATTTATTGCTATGTAGCCCATCCCTGGCATCTCTATTTGACCTCCACGTCCATGGTGCATCCCAGGTGCTCTGTACAAACACATTTCAGGAAGGCTTGTACCTCCGTGGTGTTTGTGCTCTCACAGCAGTAGGACATTAGTTTTATGTGGGATTTGCTCACCCAACCCATACAGGTGATCTTATAGTGCACTTTTGGAAATCCTACACACCTTTCTGCCCCTGAGGAAAAAAGTTCTTCCTGATGCTGGACTCAGTGCTGTGCTTAATCTTGAGCATTTGAGGATGAGTCACCTTGGAGAGGTGTGTGCTCACACCTTCCATCTTCACTTTAGTTTTCCGAAACTGCAGACCTTGGCATGTGAGTAAGGTCCAACACAGAGGCTGCTTTTAAAGTCTGGGGAAGATGGTGAGATTCTCCCCCCTCTCTCTTTTTCTCTCTCTCTCCCCCCTTTTTCTTCCTTCCTTTTTTCTTTTCTTTCTTCTCCCCCTCTTTTTTTTTTTTTTTTTTTTTTTAAAGCAGTGCTTTTTAGTTCTACAAACGAAGCTGCATAGCTTGAGCTCTGAAATGCAGGCTATGACTGGAATGTCTGTTCAGACAAGAAAGCAAATGTTTTTCTGGGGAGGCAGGGAAAATAAGACAGTCTGAGTTCTCAAATGTACACTAATTGAGCTGAGTGACTAGCTGTTTTGTGATTTCACTCTGTCCCCCAAAGGCAGACTTGCTGGGTTCAGGAGATACTGTTGAATGTTCATCACTGTTAGAGTGATGTCCCTGGCATCATTGTCCACACAGTGTGTAAGAGCTGCTTCCATTTTTTCATTTGTAGAATGCAACCCATTTCACACTGAAAATTATCTTAAAAGTTTGCAGTCCTTATCCGGGGCCTTGAAATCTCTAGGGTAATTTCAAAGAATGTAAATCATTAATGACTTTTTATACCAGTAGAGCAAAGTGTGAAGGCCAGTAACTGATCCCCAAAAGTAAAACCTGGAGCTGTGCCCCCTGAGAGCTTGTCTTAAATCTGGCAGTTGTCCAGCCAGCGTCAGTCATCCCACTGAGCAAGTGTTGGGCATGCCTGTTTTAACCTGCACAGGTTCACTTCCCACAAAGCAAAGGAAGGAGGCGTGTGTGATGTGGGCCCTGGGCTAGCCTCATTAACATATTTTGAATAACTGTAATTGGAATTCGTGCCAGCTTTGCCAGGCATTTGGAAACCTTCCAGACAGCAGTGGGAGTTTCTGAGAGGAGTGTGGAGATGTGAGCCTGCAATCTTCTTTCTTTTTGTTCTTGGAAGGGGAAGATTTTAGAACATGCATTAAGACTATTGTCTGCTCTCCTAGAAACCTGTTTCTGTTTTTTGTTTTGTTTCAATTCTGAGTAAATTTGGATCTTTTCTTTCTACCACTTTTTTTTTTTTGGGGGGGGTGTCACTGTGTAGCCTGGCTGGCTTGGAACTCACTATGTAGACCAAGCTACACTTGAACTTTTAAGTGATCCATCTACTTCTGCCTCCTCCCAAGTGCTGGGATTACAGGTGTGAGCTGCCACACCCATATTTCTTATTTAATTTAATTTTAAACACTGCCATAGGAGATTGGTAATCCAACCTTTGTCCAGACAGTGTGAGACTTTTTCTGGGAGGAAGATCTTCTTCTCTGAGGGTTTTTGTGTGTGAGATCATAATTGTGTGTACCAGGACAGACAGGATAAACTAGGGGCCCTGCAGAGTGATGCTCACATCATAAAGATGCCACATAAAGATGAGGCCTGGGACCTGTGTCTGTCTAGATCCTTTCTTGATGTTTTCTTGACAAAAGAGAAGGCTTCTAGATGTTCTCATTTGGGAGGCAGATCTGGGAGCACTGCTCCAGTTGATTGATTTGCAGTGAAGGGTGTGGAGGATGACTCTCTAATGAGCCTGTACCACAGTGTGGTGGTTCTTTAGTTGGGTGCTCACTCCTGCTCCTTTTGTTTTATACTTTTCTCCTTCCAGTGCTCGGGGCTCAACTCAGGGTTTCAATGCAGGACAGGCATATTGCTGGGCTGCATTCCCAGCTCATGCCTACTCTTTGGGATGGGATGTTCCTGATTACTGACAGCAACTCTGACCATCAAAGAAGATGAAATGAAGCTGGACGCCTGTAATCCTAGCCTTAGGCAGGTGAGGCAGGAGGATCGGGCATTTGAGGATAGCCTAAACTGTCCAGCCAGAACTTGTCTCTGATCATCATCATCATCAATACAGTAATGAAATTTTAAAGAGTACATTTAGGTGGCTCACGAGGGCCCTGTAGAGTTGTCTCAGTGGTTAAGAGTACTTGCTGCTCTTGTAGCACCTGGGTTCAGTTCCCAGCACCCACTGGGTGGTTTACAACCATGTGATCCAGGGCATCTGATGCTCTCTTCTGATCTGTGGCACCAGGTGGTGCATATACATGTAGGCAAAAACACTCATCACATAAAATAAATCTAAAAATAAGCTCGTCAGAAATGGGTTCCTCCGCCCATTTGGGGCTTTACTTTTTCTTTTATCTCTTCACAACTGATTTTTAATACTTGTTTGTCTTGTTCTCAAAGACAGGGTTTTCTGTGTAGCCCTGACTGTCCTGGAACTCACTCTGCAGACCGGGCCTCAAACTCACAAGAGATTGACCTGTCTCTGCCTTCCAAGTGCTGGGATTAAAGGCGTGTGCCATTTTAATACTTGGTTTTTGATAGCAGTGTCTCCTGTAGCCCAGGATGGCCTTGAACTCCTGATCCTCATGCCTCAGCCTCCTGAGTTGTCTCATGTGTGATGCCATGATTTTTTTTAAATCATGTAACAGAGTATCAGAAATCAGAAATAGAAAAGAACAAATTTGATTATTGCTATTTAAAAAGCCTTTTAAAGGAGGGTATATCTTAGTTGGAGATGTAGTTTATTGAACTATCCTGCAAGAAGCCCTGGGTTCAATCCCTAGTCCCCTATGGGTTGAACATGCTGGTACATACATGTAATCCCAGCACTCAGGACATTGAGGTATAAAGATCCACAAGTTCCGGCTTATCCTCTGCTATATAGAGAGTTTAAAGTTAGCCTGGGCTACATGATATTCCATGCCCACCCTCCCAGATTCCTTTTGGAACTGAGTATCTGGCTCCATAAACTAAGTTCAGTGTTGCTCTATTTATTTCCTTATTTTGAAATGGGAAACTTGAAATTGGAAAACGATGTGTCCTGGGCTGACATAGTACTCCCTAGGTAGCCCAGGCTAGCCTCAAACTCTTAACCTTCTTCTTCCCACTTTACTCTTCCAAATGCTGGGGTTACAGATATCTGCCACTGTGCCCAGTAGCCCAACATTTTTCATAGATATTTTAATGAGCCATGTATATTTATATTTCAATACTATTTGTAGCTAATGAGCTTTTAAGTTTCTAGATTGAAATCACTATGTGGTGTCTTTTCTTTTGTTGAACTTCAATGCTGACTTGGAATCTTGTCAATAATGCCCGTGATTTGTGTTTTTATATGACCACCATGTGCAATTAAAAGAGTAAACATAACTTGTTTTTCCCTAACTTTTCCCCAGTGGATTTATAACAGACTGTTAAAAAAAATTACAAGCCATTATGCTCTCCATGAAGCAAAGTGAGTTGGTAACACCTTTGACTATCATTTCACAAAGTCTTTCTTCTTTTGGGATAGAATGCTTGTGGTTTTGTTGTGGAGCTCCTTCACACCAGCTTCTCCAGGGATATTTCCAAAGTGTTACCAATTTAACTGCTTTGCTGCCTCTTCAACACCCATGGAGGTGGTTGATGTAAAATCTCCTTTTCAGCAAGTACATGCATGAAACTAAAACAGTTTATTCAGTTTATAAAAGAACACTAGTGAAACTTGAGCTCTGGCTCCTGGCCCACTTTTAAGCTGGTAGCGAGCTGGTGGGGGAAGAAGAAACTAATTACTGATAATCTCTTCAGAATGCTTTACTGTTATCAGACCCAAGTAAGAGTTATTCAGGGGGTGTGCCAGATTTCCAAGACAAACTTAAATGCCTTTTTGTCTTACATGAATGTTGCTGCTGCAGCAGCTTTGTTGATGTTTGTGGCCTCACCTACAGCCTCTTTACTGTTGTTTGGGCTCTCCACATTTTAGCTGTAAAGGCACTTCTAGGACAAAAGTGCAGTCTGAGAGAGGCTGCCTTCAAGTGTAGTTAGCTTTAGCTCACTCAGTCCGTGTTCTGACTTGTCCGTCCCACAGGCAGCTGGCTCCCTGGTACATTGTATAATTCAGACTGGCTTGTCCTGTTTGGTTGGTTGGTTATAAACTGCGGAGCTAAGTAAATATGTGATAACATTTTAAATGGTATTAGAAGTTAAACAGTACTTGAAGAGTGACGCACTAAAGGACCCGTGGCCAGGTGCCCAGGGACTGCCTTCTTTGGGTCAGTTTCCATTTTTCTGAGTTACAGGAAATAAATGGGAAACTATAGTAAGGAAGGCCTGGTCTGATGACAACACCTTCCGAATGAGACATGGGGCATGTCGTGCCTGATACTACGAATGCCTGGGGCTGAAAGCAGATAGCTGCTAACTCTGCTACTTAAAGGGTTACAGCCATGGCGGCAGCATTTTCTTCCACCTGTGCCCACTGTGGAAACGGGGAAGGCTGCATGGGACCTGCTGTGTAGGAGTGTTTAGCGTGGCCATTTCTGTGAGATATTGTGTTGCCTCAGTTGGAGAGTTACTTTCTAAGTTTCCCAAAACAACACTGTCCCTGTTAATGTCATAAAGGACATGTCTTGTCTTATGGGCTCTAAGCTCTGTAGGACCATTTGCCCCTCCTTGCTGGTATATGTCCTTTCCTGGAGGGTCCCTCTTCTCCATAGGATCTGTCTCTACCATCAGAGACAGGGAGCTCAGAAGATCTCAATTTAGCAACAACCTGTGTCGTGCCCCCCCCCCCATGCCCAGTGAGTCACTCTTAGTTTGAAATACCCTAAAAAGAGTCTAGTTTCTGTAGGTCAGACAGGCTGCAACCTGCCTGCCTGCTTTGCAAGGTTGGTGTTGAATGGTTTCAGAAGAGGAAATGCCCAAACTGTGTGGCCTTGTACTGATGATCTAACTGTAAGTCTGGCTCACAGACAAATTAGTCCTTTGTGTAAAGAGGTTTCCCCTCTCTGTCCTACTCTTAAATAGTGAGGGAGATGATAAGCCTATGTGTGTTATACCTGTTAAGAAAACAGTCCGTTCTGGAATTGGGATGGTTTTCAAACAGTTTGTTTTTCTGATTTTGTTTTTTAAAAAGCACTTTCCTGTTTTAAATTTACATTTGTTATTTGGGATTGAGAAGCTGCTTTTCTATATTATTATTATTTCCCTGAGACAGTGTTTCTCTGTGTAGCCCTGGCTGTCCTGGAACTCGGTCTGTAGACCAGGCTGGCCTCGAACTCAAATCTGGCTATCTCTGCCTCCTGAGTGCTGGAACTAAAGGTGTTTGGCATCACTGCCAAGCTAACTACTTTTCTCTGTTCTTAAAAAAAAAAAAATAGTGTTTGCTTTTTGAAACTTTTCTATTTATACAATTTATTTTTTACACTTGTGTGTGTGTTCTTTCTCTCTCCCTCCTGTATCTGTATGTGGACTGGCATTCGTGCAGAGGTCAGGGTAATTTGTGGGGTGCAGTCCTCTCTTTCCACCATGTGGATTCCAGAGGTTGAACTCAGTTCCTCCCTCAGGCTTAGTGGCAGGCACCTTTACCTGCTGAGCCATCTTGCCTCCACCCCACCCCCCTTTTTGCTCTTTTCTGTGTTCATGAGCTGAGGGTTGGTGAACTTCCACTCATACATACAGTGGCTGCCTTTGTCAGAGGACACAGTGGAAAGGAAAATGAGTTCTTCTGGATGTTTTTGAAGCAGCTGCAGCAGCAAGAGTGTGAGGGATAGTTGGCAGCCTGAGGGCCTTTTCCCCAAAGTCCCTTTCCCAAACCCTTGCCCTTCCTCATGCTACAAAAAAGTTTTCTTGCAAGTTGTTTCTTCTCAGAATCCTGATGCTGGCTTTCAGAGGAAAGCTTTTCATGTGCCAAAGTTTGGTTTTTCATGTGACTTCTTGTAGCAACTTGGGTCTTACCGAAAAGACTTTTTTTTTTCTTTGTTTTTTTGAGACAGGCTTTCTTTGTACCTTTGGGCCCTGTCCTGGAACTCATTCTGTAGACCAGGCTGGCATGGAACTCACAGAGATCTGCCTGCCTCTGCCTCCTTTTTAAAGTACATTGGTACATGTTTTTGGTGATTAACCAAAAGGGAAATTTAATATAGAGTTTCATACAGTTTAGTTACAGTGAGTAGGAGACAAGTGCACTACCCACAGTGACTAAAATGGGAATGACTGTCTGTTGTAGTTAAAGGCAAAATAAACTTCAGTTCGGAGCTAGTCTGAGTTCCATTGAAGCTTGTTGCTGTTTTTTCTGTCAGGTCACCACAACCCTCTGCTGCTGGCTGACCCTGTCCAATGGAGTAGCATCCCTTGTATTAAACAGGAAAACAAGCTGAAGCTTTGGGGCTGGATGTGTAGCTCTGTGGTAGACTATCAAGTCAGAGCCCTGGATCAAAACTCAGCATTCACAAAAACGAAACCAGTGTTTGTTTTTCAGAGGGCTTTTTGGTGTGAAAAACTGTCAAACATACAAGATGGCTTTTCTAAAAAATAATTTTCATTTATGTGTGTGTATGTCTGTGTGTGTCTGTATCTGTATCTGTGTCTGTGTGAATGTAGGCCACATGTGTGCAGGAGCCTGCACAGGCCAGGAGACGGCATCAGATCTTCCCAGAACGAAGTTTGCAGGTAGATGTGGATGCTGGGAACTGACCCTCATAACCATCGAGCATCTCTTGGTCCATAGATGCTTTTTGTGTAGAGAGTGGTATTGCCTCTCTCCATCTGATTGGTAAAAACAAATCTTACTTATTTAGTTTTTTATTCTTTTTCTGCTCTAGGGTTTTTGTAGCCCAGTCTAGCTTTGAATTTTCAGTTTATTCTAGTCTGGCCTCCACCTCTGTATCTTCCTACTTCAGCCTGCCCTGGGTCATAGATATCACCATGAAAAATGGTAATATATTCATCCTTTCGTTAATTTTAAGAAGTGGTTCAGAAATGCCGTTAACCTCTTGCTCGGCAACT